TTGTTCATAGATATGAACATGACTTAAATTTAAATACATTTTTAACTGTTCAAAACGTGCAAATGTTCAAATGGATTGCACATACATGTCTGGACTGCAAAGAGTGCAGCTTTGGACTGCCAGAAATACACTGCTTTAGGCAAATTCGAAGTGTTGGACTGCTACAATTGGACTGCTAGAATTGGACTGCTAGATTTGAATTGCTAGAATGGAGCTGCTAGAACTGGACTGCTACATTTGGACTGCTAGAATTGACTGCTAGAATTGAATTGCTATGATGAAACCGCTAAAATTGGACTGCTAGAATTAGACTTCTAGAATTGGACAGTTAGATTTTGACTGCTAGAATTGCACTGCTAGAATTGTACAGCTAGTTTTGGACTGCTAGATTTGGACTGCTGGAATTGGACTGCTAGAATTGGACTGCTAGAATTGACTGCTAGAATTAGACTGCTAGAATTGGACTGCTAGAATTGGACTGCTACATTTGGACTGCTAGAATTGGACTGCTAGAATAGGACTGCTAGAATTGGACTGCTAGAATTGGACTTCTTGAATCAGACTGCTAGAATTGGACTGCTAGAATTGGACTGCTAGAATTGGACTGCTAGAATTGGACTGCTAGAATTGGACTGCTAGCTTTAAGAGTCTCCGTGGTGTTTATGTTTTTAAATCATGTAAATGAACAATAATTTGTATTAAAAGGTTGTTTCTGGTCAGGGACCGCATGAGGGTAAGGCATGGTGCTGCACTGCACCCCCCCCCCTAACCCTGAATTTGCAGGTTTTATTTAAAGGTTTATGTGCTGTGGCGCCTCCAGTAATAAATAACTTAACAGGCCCATCATTTTTTTGGATTTATCCCCCCTCCCAAAAAAAAACCCAACAAAAAAAACCCCCTGAAATGACGCCCCTGGTTCTAGTATATTGATTGAGTTTCGGTATTCAGCGTAATCAAACCGCTCAATATCTAATCCTGGTCACAGTGTTTGCTTTGAATTAACGTTTTCATTGCTCACATTTCTTTTCCTTTCCATCCTGTAAATATAATATTCCTCGTACCAGGGAGTTTACACGAAAGACCAAATAATTCTTTTAAGTCAGCCAGACATTGAAAGGGTGGAAACCTTCTGGCAGCTGATGCTACAAAACAAGATCAAACTCATTGTTGCCATGGATTTCACTGCCGCAGCAGCGGATGACGTAAGGATCAATACCCTACAATGTCGTTTCATTTTTTTAATTGTAGTTTTTGTTACGTTTATTCATTTTTTTAAATCAATGTCCACAACAACAGATAAAAAAATAGTCACAGATAGATATTTAAAAAAACCTTTTAAACTTAAAACTTTTAAATATAACGTAAAAAAAAATACTAAGGCCTTTATAGAATGTTTCTTGGCGAATTACCCATAAACAATCTTGTTGTTTTCGCCCTGAAATCATATTTAAAATAACTTGATTCTAGATTATTTTTTCTTTTTTAACATCACTTGAATTAAACATCAAATGTATGTATGTCTTCGGAAGTAGTGTTGTAGTTAACATTAGTTGTATGTATGTCTTCGGAAGTAGTGTTGTAGTTCACATTAGTTTGACAACTGGACGAAGCAGACCGATCTCAACGGTTCTTGTGATCATACCCACAAAAAAAAGAAAAATCAAAAAAAAAAAAAATGGATTTTACTTGTTAACATTAGTTGGATGTATGTCTTCGGAAGTAGTGTTGTAGTTCACATTAGTTTGACAACTGGACGAAGAAGACCGATCTCAACGGTTCTTGTGATCATACCCACAAAAAAAAAAAAAATCAAAAAAAAAAAAAAATGGATTTTACTTCATTTGAATAGAATGCCCCAGAAACCGGTTTCTACATGGTGCCCAATGATGACCTGGTTTTGAAGTTGGTCTCACTTACGATCGAGACCAAAACGCTGATGGTAACCGATTTGTTGGAGTCAAAATTGGTGACCATCAAACTGAAGCAAGTGAGTTGAAATGCCGTCTGAATAATTTTATCTGAGCTTATGTATCACTTTTTTTTCTTCCTTGACATTTTTTTGTAAATATTTGATTATTTTTTTTATCAATAAAGATAAATGTGGAAGTTGCATGCTAGACAACAAAACAATACGACGGAATCTCTACGGCACGTCTTGCTCTGTAAAGAAGAAAAAAAAAATGAATGAACTAAAAACAAATAATAATAATAATAATAATAATAAAGTTCATTTCAAAAACACGCTTCATCCCTAAATTAAGGCTCGAAGCGCTCTACAAAGTCAACCCTATCTGAAGACTTATAGTTTTCCACATTAAAATACAAAACGCAACATTACAAAATCTTTATACAAGTCAATGGACAATACAAGACAATATACATCCAGGAATATATTTATATAAGAGTTAAAAAGATGATGGAACATGAATAAAGTAAAGTAAATTTATGAAGAATATAAAACTATAAAGCATATTTTTTGTTCTCCCCCTCGCATACCTCTTTAAAGACCCCAAAACTTTACTTAATGTCCTTAACACTTAATCCATAGCAAGACTCACCAACCCATCCATTTCTGTGGTGCTGCAGCCCATGTTGGTCTTTGGCCTGCCTTACCCTTTCCTTCCACCCTGACTATCCATCCCTGTTGCGCCAAAGCCTTTGGCATGGCATTTATTTCTACTCAGACCATTCATCCCTTTGGCGCTACAGCCCATGTGGCCATGATGACTTTGGCCTGCATCACAAACATCTTTCCACTCAGACCTAGCCGATGCTTTTCTTTTCCATGCTTGGATCCCCAGCTGCTGTGGATCCCTCTCCACGTCATCCATCCATCTAAGCCTAGGCGTGCCTTTGAGTTGAGCCCTTTTCATCTGTAGTTTTAGTGATTCACGCTCTTCACTGCTCTGTCATTCGGCAGTCTTCCTTAGAGTCCCGCCCAGCGTAGCCTGGCCCCCTCTTCATTTCTGCTACTAGTGTGGGAATCCTGATCTATTTTATAAATCTCCTGGTTGGTTCGTGTTCTCCACCTATATGAATAGTTTTTTTTTTTTTTTGTGGTCCATTTGTTTTCCGGGGAACTTTTCTGTCCCTCGTGTTTAATACGTTTTTGCCTCTTTTGTGAATGTCGAAGTTTCACTTTCATATGATGCAACTCGTCAGATTACCAATCTATAAATACTATTAAAAAATACACAGAAACAGACACACAAATACTATTAAGCACCAACGTTGGTTCGAACAGATGGAAGAACGTGTAACCAATGATCAGAATTTTGTTAACAACCCATTAGATTCGATCAACCCATTAGATTCGATCAACCCATTAGATTCGATCAACCCATTAGATTCGATGAACCCATTAGATTCGATCAACCCATTAGATTCGATCAACCCATTAGATTCGATCAACCCATTAGATTCGATCAACCCATTAGATTCGATCAACCCATTAGATTCGATCAACCCATTAGATTCGATCAACCCATTAGATTCGATCAACCCATTAGATTCGATCAACCCATTAGATTCGATCAACCCATTAGATTCGATCAACCCATTAGATTCGATCAACCCATTAGATTCGATCAACCCATTAGATTCGATCAACCCATTAAATTCGCTTTGATAACATGTTTGCTTTCCAATCGTTCAGGGAGGCTCTCATTCTTTGGTCCACCTCAAATCGCTGTTTGACAAACCGTTTCCAGACAAGATATTCAGATTCATTGATCATGCCAGGAGCGTAGATTTGGATTGCGAGGACATGATGGTGTTTACGTGCAAGTAAGCTACTCAAACCGCTGAGGCTTTTACGGGTACTTTCAAGAATGAGGGGGGTGGGGGTGGTGGATGCGAAAGATTGGGAGCAAAGACGGCACGATCTTTTAAAAGGAACCCAAATATCTTCATTTTCCTGCAAAATACAGGGTATTAAAATTAACTTTTGGTCAGCGTGCGCCTACATTCACCGTTACTCCACGTACCCATCTTTTTAGTTCCATGGTCCTGGTCTTATCTCCTTATCAAATGTGTTTGGCGTAAAAAAAAAATTGATGGGAACGTATTACCAAAGATGGAAGAATAATGTTTTTTTTAAACTTATGACATGACGTGTGTCGTATTCAAGTGTATCACAATCTACTTCAAAGAGATCATGAAAATACAGTGTAGTCTTCAATGCATATCTCATTTCTGGAAACAAATATTTAGGGAAAAGAAGTAATCCATTTTTATTGTTTTTTCCAGATAAATAGATATGATTGCACGCCACACATTTCTTTAAACCCGCATTTATTTTCTTGATGTATTGGACCAAAGGCGGTCTATTTCAAGCACAAGTAGGAGCGGTGTGTCTGCGCGTTGCCGTAGTATATTTATAATATACCTAAGCCTACTAATAGTTCCTAATCCAGTCAACACAATATTCGGAGTTATCTGGAGCCACGATGAGTAATTAGGGTCAGGGAATTAACTGTTACAGAAAAAAAAAATTAGACATTTCGGAAACTAAGCGAGTGAACAAATCCGTTATGACGCGTCCCATTACGACCAGCAAGGCCCCAGTACGACTATAAATGTCTTAATATCCTATCGGCGGAATATATGACGTCAACGGCCCTGCAATTTGCCCAAGGCCCCGCACCCTCCAAGCGCCGGCCCTGTATACAGTATGACATTCGCTGTGTAAAAATAACTCAGAATTTGACTTTTCATTTTCATAGGTAACGCCTTAATTTCATCACAAGTGTAGCAACATAAATACTTTGTTCATATATATGTTATGTTCAAATATTTAATGTTCATATATATACATTTTTATATATTTAATGTGCCTATATTTATTGTTTTTGCATTTCATGCTCATGTAACTTGTTGTTCGTAAATGTAATGTTCTATATTTATTGTTCATACAATTATTTGTCACATATTTAATGTTGTATAGTTATTGTTCACATAGTTATTGTTCACATATGTAATCATCATACATTTCATGTTTCATGTATTTCCCCATCTTCAGGAGTGGTACAAAGTACAGTGGCCTGGCGTGTGTTCTGTCCATCCTACTGGACAGGATGGAGGAAGAATCCTGCGTCATAGTTCCCCTTGTCGTCGGTTCAATTAAGTCCGTAGAACCGGAGATCATTCCAAACCTTGTGAGTGCTTAACAAACACATTTTTTTCGTTTATGTCTATCTCCTGCCAAGACTAAGCCCTTAGCCTCTGAATTTACACTAACAACTAATAAGTTAACAAAGATGTAATTAACTTGTATATTGGGTCTTTAATTTTTAAAAAAAAAATAAAATAAAAAAATAATTTTAAAAAATCGTGAAGAATGATATTTAGCGGTTGAAAAGTTCTAATAGGTTATTTTTCGTATGCATTAGTTAAATCGATTTTGATTAATCTATTTTTCTTTTCAGGAGCAATACAGATGTCTGTACCAAGTCATACAAAAGTACATTGAACGATATCATTCATGGTTGTAAATTTAAATTATGCCTTTTACCCATTTTTTTCCAAAAAAAAAGAATATCGATTTTATTACCTGGAAACTGATCTTAAGATGGCGATGTGAACCTGACAGTGCAGCGCCGAAGATGCCATAGCATTAAGCAGTATTTTCACACAATACATTTTTAATAAAGCAACGGAAAGAAACTATGAAATTTAGTGGCACACCGCTGTGACGTACCCCGCTAAGACTTACCCCGCTATAACGTTACCGCTATAACTTTCCCTGCTACAACGTACCCGCAATGACGTACCCCGCTATTAAGCGAATTAGGATAAAAAAATGTGAAGCTTCATGTATAATTTGGTAAGGGATGGAGTTTGTTTTCAAAGTACTTGAGGGATAAATGCAAGCTATTGCGCTTAATTTTTGTGGCATTAGGCGTGGTGGGTTTGACTTAGGCATGGTGGGTTTGACTTAGGCATGGTGGGTTTGACTTAGGCATGGTGGGTTTGACTTAGGCATGGTGGGTTTGACTTAGGCGTGGTGGGTTTGACTTAGGCATGGTGGGTTTGACTTAGGCGTGGTGGGCTTGACTTAGGCATGGTGGGTTTGACTCAGGTATGGTGGGTTTGACTTAGGCATGGTGGGTTTGACATATTACTTACCCAGACTCGTTTATTTTTAACTTGAATTAAACTGTATCAATTTACTCTAGCGTTCAGTAATAGTTCTGGCTTTCTTTTTTTTTTTTTGTTTGTTATAGTATTTCGTACTTATGTAAAAAAAACAACCACGGTGGACTAAAATTGTAGCTTAATAAGCAAATTCACCTCTTTCCATAACTTGAATTAAACTGTATCAATTTACTCTAGCGTTCAGTAATAGTTCTGGCTTTCTTTTTTTTTTTTTTTTGTTATAGTATTTCGTACTTATGTAAAAAAAACAACCACGGTGGACTAAAATTGTAGCTTAATAAGCACATTCACCTCTTTCCAGGGGCGTAGCAAGGGTGTTTGGCGTCCGGGGACAAGATCCATTGTAAAGCGCCCCTTTTTCTTTTCTTTTTTCAACTCTTAAACCCATTATTTTCATCAATAAAATAATATCAAAGCACATTTTGGCGCCCCTAGCTACCTGGCGACCGGGGAATCTGTCCCCCCTGGCCTCCCCTCGCTACGCCTCTGCATCTTTCTTTTGCTGCAAACGACCCTTTCCGTTAAGGCCTGTATCCCTTGTTAAATCATGTAATTCGCAATGTATATTTATTTGCTCCTTTAATTATCACTTAAAATTGTTTAAGAGGGTCGGCCAACTTAATTCATTTGTCATGCTTCATTTTGAGAGTCACTTTTCCCAAAGGGGGCGCATGTCCTTCAGCTTCGTCAAATCAAATCAATACATCATCATTGTAAACTAAGCGATCGTTTGTTGTACCTTAAACATTTCTGTGTGAACTTCCTTCGTTGATATCTCCGTATTTTCTGTTACTGTGTGGACTTTTTTTAAATGACACTAAGGAAAATGTGTTATCTGACTTGGCACAGTTCTAGTGGTCTTTCACTGCGTCCCATCAAGTGACCAGAGGGTCTTTTCTAATTTTCTTTGGGTTCTTTTTTTATGGAAAAGCTACGCTGTGAAATTTAAAGAATATAAAATCTTATTTTATTTAGTGAAGCGGAACAATGATAGACAAATACATTTGGAAAAGGGGAAAAAAAATCTTTATTAAATAAGATATATCACAAGTTCCATATATTTGTAGTAAAAAAATTATTATAATTTTCGGTAATATTCGTTGTTACGTTTGGTTGGTAGATCTGTTGGGGCGGGGGGGGGGGACAGTTTTAAGAGGTATGGATAGAGAGATGAGATCGGCAATGAACCATAACAGAATACTGCGAGACATTTACTCAAACGTGGCTTCAGTGACTAATATAATTGTCTCATTTTTATTTTACTTAGTTTACATGTTTTTAATAATTGTTAAGCGCTTAGAGCTTTATGGTAAGCGCTATATAAAAATGCCTATATAAATAAATAAATATCGTCTTTCTAATACGACAATCATATAATTTTAATGTATCGACATTCTAATATTTGAATATCATTCGTTTCTAATAATATTTTGTTACACCAAAATATAAAATGTCCAAACGGGCGAGTGTAGGATACAAAGGCATCTTTTAGCAACATGACATCAATCATCAGATTCTCCACATTTATCATCACATTCTCCACATCTATCGTCACATTCTCCACATCTATCATCACATTCTCCACATCTATCATCACATTCTCCACATCAATCATCACATTCTCCACATCAATCATCATATTCTCCACATCAATCATCACATTCTCCACATCAATCATCACATTCTCCACATAAATCATCACATTCTCCACATCAATCATCACATTCTCCACATCTATCATCACATTCTCCACATCAATCATCACATTCTCCACATCAATCATCACATTATCCACATCTATCATCAATTTCTCCACATCAATCATCACATTCTCCACATCAATCATCACATTCTCCACATCTATCATCACATTCTCCACATCAATCATCATATTCTCCACATCTATCATCACATTCTCCACATCAATCATCACATTCTCCACATCAATCATCACATTATCCACATCTATCATCAATTTCTCCACATCAATCATCACATTCTCCACATCAATCATCACATTCTCCACATCTATCATCACATTCTCCACATCTATCATCACAGTCTCCACATCTATCATCACATTCTCCACATCAATCATCACATTCTCCATATCAATAATCACATTCTCCACATCAATCATCACCTTCTCCACATCAATCATCACATTCTCCACATCAATCATCACATTCTCCACATCAATCATCACATTCTCCACATCAATCATCACATTCTCCACATCTATCATCACATTCTCCACATCAATCATCACATTCTCCACATCAATCATCACATTCTCCACATCAATCATCACATTCTCCACATCTATCATCACATTCTCCACATCATAGTAGTGTAAGAGGTGTAGTTTCATCACATTCTCCACATCTATCATCACATTCTCCCCATCAATCATCACATTCTCCACATCAATCATCACATTCTCCACATCGATCACTTATATCAGCTTTACTCAACCTATGGTTCGCTACCCAATTGGGGGGGGGGGCGCACGACCCTTACACGGGGGTAGCGTAAGACCATCGGAATACACATTTACTCTACAGTAGAGAAGTGCCAAGGAAAGTTAATTCATAGTTGGTTGGGGGGGGGGGGCGCGGGGGTCACCACAACATCTCATGCAGCGTGAACTGTTTTAAAGCGTCGCGGCATTAGGAAGTTTGAGAACCATTGACATATATCATCCTATGGAAGTAGATATTTTAATAAATAAAGGAGAAGTGTAATCACAATTTCTTGATATGATGTAGAATACTTAAAAAATAAAATTTATTTTATAATATAAAATCAGTAAACATTATGATAAAATTTACCCAAGAAAGACGTTTTTTGCATTTGGATTAAAAGGATTTAAGTAAATCTAAATAATTACATTAATAAATGTAAGAGAAAGCATGCATAGTAACATAACGGATTGGGAAACGGAGAGAAAGCTCACGGAGTTACCATCACCGAGTTCAAAGGTCAGCTTCTGCTCGCTCTTTAGCTCAACGGCCATGCAGACGTCATCAATGACGACCATAGCCTCCCACTTGCAGCACATGACGTCATCGTGCTTTCCGCACGGCCGCCCCTCGTAACCGAGGTCAAGGTTGCTGCCAGCCCCACAGGTTGAGCACGTCACGCATCTCGACGTGCAGATGCAGTTTTCTCCTTCTTCCCTGGGCCTGTAGAAGCCGGGCTTGCACAGTATCTCACTGTCAACGGTGGTGGCACATGGGTTAATTAGGACCTCATGCTGGATAAATAGAATGTAACATGAGTAAAATAATTACGCTATAAAATCCAATCGGTTAAGTAAATAGTTATAAGGCTATTAATTAGTGTTTGGGGGTTTTCCCAGTTCTAGGTAAGGGATGGCAACGGTGCTGCACTGAATGTCAAAATGGTGTCAGCGTTCTGCGCACCATGGAGCGCACACATTGTCTGCGCACTACCAGAATACACTTTTGAACAAAAAAAAACGGGTTGTTGTTGTCCATAAGGGTTAATTGCCATTAGCTTCTGGGATAGGCACATATTTGCCATTAGCTTTTAAGGTATGTATATATTTTCGATCAGTTTCTGTAGTATGTACAAATTTGCCATTAGTTTCCGTGGTATGCACAAATTTGCCACCAATTTCCATGGTATGCTCAAATTTGCCATTAGTGTACATGGAATGCACAAATTTGCCATTAGTGTCCATGGAATGCACAAATTTGCCATTAGTGTCCATGGAATGCACAAATTTGCCATTAGTGTCCATGGAATGCACAAATTTGCCATTAGTGTCCATGGAATGCACAAATTTGCCATTAGTTTCTGTGGCACGGATACAATCCTCCGTAGTTTCTAGTTTCTGCATTTAACTTTTCGTGCACTTCATAAAAAAAAAAATTGTTTAAATGTGATGAGTACAATTAAGAAATAGAGGAATATATAATAAATGAGATAGTGTGTTTAATGCATGTAAAGTAAGTGAGTATTGGAACGAAATATGTTCACGAGGACAGCCAAAATGACAAGAAGTTAAACGGACGTTTGGGACAGATGCCTTCTTTTAGCAGATTAAACACTACAACAATGTTGGAGCAGTTTGCATGTTTCGGGATGGGGATCGGGCCAGCCAAAATGGAGGAGTAGCCAATGTCGCTGAACGTAAGAGGGCCGGAGTCCTGTATGTTCTTGATTTTGTTACTGAGTCGGACAGTTTCTGACATAGCCTGAGTCGATCAGGCCAGGTTCATATATGTTAACAACAAATAAATTGATAAGGCCGTTTTTGTTTAAATCTTTCCTTAGATTTCTGTCCTCTCCATACTACCGTCTTTAGATGACATCCATTTCTTTAAAAAGATAGCTACTGTCTCATGCTGATTTCCCGACTATTTTTTTTAACTTTTAAAAATAATGATCAAAAAATGTTTTAGTACCTGTAAAAGACGGTAAAACTTCTTTTTTTTTTTTAAATTTGTTATTTATTATGTTAATTTTCAACTTATGTTTTGCCACGGCAGCCTGGGGAGGGTCTATGTGTGCCGTGAGGGGAAAAAAAAGTTGTTGTTTTTTATTATTATTATAAATGGTTTTATATAGCGTGGTTTGCTGATTAATTGATTTTTTGACGGTCTAAGGAGACGTTTTGTTGTACTGTTGCTCTGATACAAAAGGAGTGGAGAAAAGGACAGAGTCCTCAAGCATCCTCAATAGGCTGTCCCGTAAATCTTTCACTCCGCGGTGCAACTCAACCTTCTGCTCGAGATTACCAGCATGCACAACAAGACTACAGCTGCTGACATTTTTTTTGAAATCTGAAGCGTGCAAAAGCCACAACAGAGCTAAACACCGACAATTCTGAAGTCAGCGTACCTCACTTGGCTCCTGGCATCTCATGCACGCCATGTTGTTCAGGAAGCTCACCATCTCGGCGGTGACGAACGAGCCGTTGGCGCAGGGCGTGCACGCGCCTGACTGCCCATGAATGTATTCTCCGGGCCGGCAGCTGGGCAGGGGCCCCCGGTAAGACGAGGCCACCATCTGCGACGGCGGACGTGTCCTGGACGGGATGTCTGGATCGCAGACGCCGCATGGGCTCACCGTCTTCAACATCAGCATGGCAAGTATCACTTCTGGATGCATCCGTGCTGTCATAACTGTTCAGATAAATTGGGGAGAGTTATTTCAATCAGACTTAGGTAGAGGGAAATATTTGGAAAAAAAAGGTATGAACATATGACGCAATAAAACAACGAGTGTGTCGGCAAGAAGACTTCTTTAGCTTCTTTAGCTAAAAAACAAAACAATAATTACTAACACACCTAAAAGAAACTTAACTAAACTACTTTATCCGAGGGGACAGCAAGAGGAATGTGGTAGATCGTTAGTAGGTCAGACATTAAATATAGGAAAATGGGGAAGGAAGAGAGCAAGAGTAAGTCGACGGCGATCGCTTTTAACGGTATCAAGCAGTCTGAAACGGGGTCGGTGGCAACTATGAAATGTCCAAACCACGGTATTTTTGTGTGCCATGCAACGTGGCTTTTCGGTGGCAGTTGTGAACTGTCGACACATCGCACTTGTGTTTGTACTGCAAACGTACTTGTTGGGAGAAGGGGGGGGGGTTCTACAAATGTCTGCATTGTTTGATGTTTCTGACCAAAATGACTCGGATTTCTTCAGTTTGACTCGAAGCATTTAAATCAGAAATTCGTGGGGCTCGGTACAAAATACTTTACACTCTATCGTCACTGAGCGCTTCTCTCCTAAAGTCCTTCCTGGCGAGTCACTTTATTATGGCACGTAAGCCACGTCGTTTAACACACACACACACACACACACACACAAAGGTCTCATGGGAATGTCTGACGTTATCATGCCTACCTAAGAGCTTTATTATTATTATTATTTTTATTTTTTTATTTTTTGTGAGCATGAATTTAAAACAACAAACCACTTGAACTTGAATATTCGGTGAAATATATCTCCCCGACCATTAAAAGACTTTATAGCGCATGAATTACCGTGTAACTTCAATTTGAACGTTGATTAATTTAGGTTTAGTAACTAAATTTCGCCCCCCGATGCTGCAATCCTTTTTTTACGTTACCCTGCTTGTTCCCGTCCCCTTTTTATATGTATTCCACTATCACACAAATGGAAATATCATACGATTTCTACGCATGTAAAAAGAGCCTAGATATTTTATTTTCACGTTTAAAGATTATTCATTATAATTGATGATTGTCAATACCAAAAATATCTATTTTTTAAAAATCTGCTAGAATTGTTAATGGGTAGACAATTTAATCAATAAACAGAAACATTGAATGAATAGAAAGCAAATGAAACATGGCTTGTGAATGCTGTATAGTAGACGTAGTTAGAAGAGCTTACCAGTGAATGTTGTAGATTATACGTATTTAGAATAGCTTACTTTTGAATGCTGTATAGCCGATGTAGTTAGATTAGCTTGCGCGTAAATGATATAAAGTAGACGTGGTCAGAAAAACTTACCTTTGCGCACTGTGTAGTGGACGTAGCTAATAGAGCTTACCTGTGAGTGATGTTTTGTAGATGCAGTTAGATTAGCTTACCTGTGATATACACGTTTATTGACGAAGTTTCGCAGATGACTACTACAATAAATCTAGTTGACACCTCTTCTTAACGGTGCTGTCTCAGTGACACACGCCAAATGTGCAATGTTTTCTAAGGTACACGCTAACGCCCCCCCCCCCCCCCAAACATTTTTCTAGCTGACATTAACAAACAACCCAAAGGGTCCCAAGTCAGCCAGACGGTCGATAAGCTTCACATAACACCGGTGACTAATTGTAACACTTCTTCTAGACGTGTCACTACCTACCACATTCTATTTAAGTACTTGTCTAGAGTTGGCTACACTTTAAAAAAACACAAGTATGTAGACCTTCGAGTCTACTTGTGCAATGATTCTCAAAGTGGTAAATAGCACGCAGGGTAATTTAAGGGGTTTAGCGTGTTAAAAAGAGTATGTGGCCAGTTTTAGCAACAGTGCGCTTGATGGTGTTTTCTTTTTTAAGTCCTGGGGTTGACCAATCTCTTGAGCATTAAAACATTGAGAATAATTGTTAATTTGGTACATCAATGGATGTCTAAGTCTAATGATTTGATCATTTTAATCTACAATCGGGCAGTGACGTAAATGGCTCACAAAAGTCACACATCTAATTCAGAACTAAAAAGTCCCCGATATAGCTAGGAGAATTCACTCAATGGCTGAGGTTTTTTTCCCCCACTATTGAAATAACTTAATGTAGATGTCTTGTGTTCATGTGTTTTCATTTATCTGATGAAAATGTACAATGCAATCGAAAAACATTTCCATTTGTTTGTATCAATAAAAGAATCTTATCTTTCGTATCTTAAGTTGGAGAACTACTTTCTATCTGTAGTTGTTTCTTCATTTATCCTGTTTGCTTAGGAAGGCTGTTAGCCGAAACATTCTTCTTTTCTTGTCCATTATTTATAATTCAAGTTTCCAAATACTTTGTTCCACAATTTTCATTTACACAGCTTGCTTGCAGATTTTCATTTATTTATGTTTGATATTTCTTGCTCGTTTTCCAAAGCGTTGATATGCTGCTTGTTCCAGACAGGGTCTTACTGTCCAAAGTCTAAAACCAATGCATTAAAAAACTCAGCTACTGTATCGTATATTATAAGCAAATGTGCTTAACACATATATTTTGGAACGAGCTAAAAGTGTAACATATTCTTCGCTATTAGCAAGAGGCGACTTCCCTGGTTAAACCATGTAATGAGAATGGAGTAATGATCAGCTGTAAGGAGAGTTGGCAGGAGGGGCATGGAGAGTTGGCAGGAGGGGCATGGAGAGTTGGCACAAGGGGCATGGAGAGTTGGCACAAGGGCCATGGAGAGTTGGCACAAGGGGCATGGAGAGTTGGCAGCAGGGGCATGGAGAGTTGGCACAAGGGGCATGGAGAGTTGGCAGCAGGGGCATGGAGAGTTGGCACAAGGTTGGAGGGTGGGCACGAGGGGCATGGAGAGTGGGCAGCAGGGGCATGGAGAGTTGGCACAAGGGGCATGGAGAGTTGGCAGCAGGGGCATGGAGAGTTGGCACAAGGGGCATGGAGAGTTGGCAGCAGGGGCATGGAGAGTTGGCTTAAGGGGCATGGAGAGTTGGCACAAGGAGCATGGAGAGTTGGCAGCAGGGGCAAGACTTGATGCGCGGCCACGGCTACGATTTAAGGACATTTGCAAAAGGAACACGAGGGAAGCCAACACAGAAATCAACAAACGATATATCATCGCTGAGCACCGCTCCAGCTGGCGAACAGCAGTTTCTGAAGGGTTCGAACGGGCGGAAGATGCGCGAAACAAAGCCCATGTAACATATAAAAGCATTAAGGAAGGTCAAATTTAACTTTTAGTCAAGATTCTTCTGGGAGAGATCCATTCGAAACTGTCATCCGGTGTGGGCCTTGTAAGCCAACTGATGAAGTGTCAATACTTCATTCATCTTCCCGAGAAGAGGGAAAGATGCCTTATCAATGTCTTGACATACCTTTCGTGTAGACCGACGGCTGCCTTATTTATATTTTGACACACACTTCTCAAAGTCAGCAACTGTTGGAATGACAAAAAAATTGCTTCACAAAATATATTTCCAAGACATGAAATAACAGTCATTATTTCTTTGTTTTGTTGTTGTTTTTAGGTTGTCTTATTGAGTTACCTCTGTCAAGACTCGGTTACTGTACCTGTAATATTTTAAAGCAAAGGATCAACAGCAACTTTTAACTAGATCAACAAAGTTTTAAATAACTTAAATAACGAATTCAGGAGTCGGGGAGTAAAATAAATCAATTTGTTTATTGAAGTTTCAAAACTGATATCATTATAACATAAAGCTTGGTCATGGCGTGAAAAGAAAAGGCTTAAAAACGTGAGAGAAAAAAACCAGTCTAACTGCGTTAGTTACATTAAGTTGTTGTTATATGAAAGATATATATTTTCAGCTCAGTTAAAAAAAACAACCGCAAATTATAACTATGACTGAATTCTTATTTTGTCTTAACACATGAAACAATACTTTAGTATAATACAATGAAACACGTCATCTATATCAAAGGTTTTCAACTTTGTTTTTACCCATTATAAGAAGTCAAGATAAGCAGAACAATTTACGATAGCCATTTAAAAAGATTGATACATATAAAATTTCAATAATTGTATGTTTTTGAAGAACAAATGATTATAGAAAGTATTGAAATTTTATCCAAAAATATTAATTTAAAGACAGTTAAATCTATCCAATCGTGCATTAATGCGGACCGTGAAAAGTCCGCGGACGAAATGTTGAAAACCACTGACCTATAAAACGATAAGTGATTGAAAAGAACCATTTTTGAATATTGAACAAAAATGTATTTTTAACAAAATGGCTCCCAACATCAACCAGTGAATGAATGGAACAAAATCAAGAATTGATGTTTGATCTAGTAAATTAATAACCATACACCATGCACCAAGATTAACAATACTAACAGGAAAGCATCTTGAAAGGGTTGATACGTTTGAAACAGCACTCTTTGCATAAGGGAGATATTTCGTTAAAATAGACAGCATAGCCTTGTTACTTGATGCCGTGTTTGCCAATTTACCTTTGATGTTGCTCTGCACTCTTATTTGTAGCTCTCCCCAACTTTTTTTTCTTCACGATCTCTGATGTATGAGTGAAAATAAGGTTTAAATATGAGTATGAGTATTTTTTGTTCTTGGGTGATTGACCGCCTTCCAACAACAACTGCACAACATATCTTTATTTTCCCTACAAGGAATACGTGGCCTTTGTAGCAATGCACCGTTGACAAAACACGTTCAAGATGCGTGAGTCTCAGCCATGTAACTTTTTGCTCATACTTAACCATTTCTATTGGCATAAACTTGTGCTTGTCTGTAGCTAAGGATATTGGCAAATATATTTCTCATTCAGTTGGCCCATCACAGTTTTCACAACACAATTTGACACATATTCAGGAGATAGGTCATGCGATAAACGACTCGTTATGCTGCCTGGGTGCCAACAAGTGCAAGAATTTACCTCTTCGTACAAATTGAGCCGAATAGAGTGCTGCCATCAGATATCAAAAATAGGTGTATATATATATATATATATATAAATATCAAACCTTGTAATAAAATTAAGTAATTCGCATGATATATTCCAAGTCAAAACAAATTTGTGGCATGTTTGATTGTACAATGTGCAATCTACAAATGGTAAGGAAACTAAAGTTCACATCCGAAGATTTCAGAGTTCATTGGTCTCAGATCTGGACGTGTAATACTTTTGTAAGTACACTATTGATTATGGTATAGAAATACATTAGTTCAATGTTAAGTATGGTTTTAGATGTATTTAAACTGTTTATTTAAATTGTAAAAAAAATTGCACCACAAAATAAGAAAAACAATTATTTTTTAATAATTTTTTTTTTTTTTTTAAAATTCATAAATAACATTAGAAAAAGAGATTTTTCATAAAAATACGGGTAAAAAGTTAAATGTAAAAATACAATTTAAAAAAAAAATTTTTTTTTTATAACATTCAATCTTTTAAGTCATGTTTTAATACAAATAACTAACACTGATACAATAAGACAGTAGGTGCCCAGTAACACACTAGCGTGCCTCTTTGTTACAAGCACGTGAAATAAAGTGACCTGGAATTTAATGACAAACTCGCGTGCCTATTTGTTACAAGCACGTGAAATAAAGTGACCTGGAATTTAATGACAAACTCGCGTGCCTATTTGTTACAAGCACGTGAAATAAAGTGACCTGGAATTTAATGACAAACTCGCGTGCCTATTTGTTACAAGCACGTGAAATAAAGTGACCTGGAATTTAATGACAAACTCGCGTGCCTATTTGTTACAAGCACGTGAAATAAAGTGACCTGGAATTTAATGACAAACTCGCGTGCCTATTTGTTACAAGCACGTGAAATAAAGTGACCTGGAATTTAATGACAAACTCGCGTGCCTATTTGTTACAAGCACGTGAAATAAAGTGACCTGGAATTTAATGACAAACTCGCGTGCCTATTTGTTACAAGCACGTGAAATAAAGTGACCTGGAATTTAATGACAAACTCGCGTGCCTATTTGTTACAAGCACGTGAAATAAAGTGACCTGATATAAAATGACACACTGGTGTGCGTATTTTTTGTTGTTACAAAAGTGTTAAGTAAAGCGATCTGGCATATAGTTTTACATCTTTTGAAGACAATCGGGACCAACCTTTCATTTTCCATTTGGAGCTGAGATTTAACGTATTGCCCGTATCCTGACTGACAGCTGCATCTTAAATGAGTCTAACAAACAACACACCCCCCGCAAACACGATCGCTTCTCGTAATAAAAGTTGTAGAAATGCAAATGACCAGAAATTTGCTCTACAGGGGAAACTACCAAATCAAAATGTAAATGAAAGTGTTTACTTTAAACGTACTAGTTTATTTATTGTTCATATTAACAGGTATTTCTCCTTAACATTTGCGTCTCTGTTCTCCCGGAGAACAGTTGAGTACTATAAACATAAAAAAAAATAATCGGCATTTAATCTATTCCATCTTTTGCGGTCAAGCTTTGTGTCTAATAACGATTTGAGAAAACACT